GGGAAAAAAAGATTTCTTTTTCATAATTGTCATCATCTTGATCCAATTTCCATGTCAAGCCTGGCTTTGAGTAGGGAAGGGCCACAATCACAAGTGGCCTCCACTGTTCCCAGCTTCCTGTGGCACCTTTTTCCTTCTCTTTCCCTAGTATTTCTACTTTCAGCTTCTTGCGGGATCCACTGAAAACTGGTTGTCTGGAGGATTTTAGCACAGTCAGGAGGGTGTTGCTCTGCTAACCCAAAGGCACGACTTATCTAGAGGTTCAAATCCTCCTGAGGCTTCTCAGGAGAAAGATAGGCAATCTCCTTCCATATGATTTACAGCTGTGCTAATCCACTGGAGGGTCAGCTAGCTATAAGTCAGTTCTGACTTACAGGAACTGAGTGAGTTCCATGAATGGAGGGTCATGAATGAGTAAGAGCAGAATTTTCAAGAAGAATATTGTCATTGATGAGATTTGGTTTTTGGAGTTGATTCTGACTCATGGCACCCTCATGTGTATAGAGCAGAAATGCCCCATATGGTTTTCAGTTTTGCAGCCTGATTGCCAGATCTGTCTTCTCAGGCTTCTTTGAGTGGCTTCAGACTGCCAGTTTTTCAGGTTGTAAGGAAGACTCATCGATAATCTGTGTTATGCAGATAACAATACCCTGCTTGCTGAAACTGAGGAGGACCTGAAGCTCTTGCTTCAGAAGGTCAAGGACTACAACCTTCAATATGGATTGAAGGTCGACATTAAGAAAACAAAGATTCTCACCACTGGGCCAATTGGCAGCATCATGATAGATGGTGAAGAGATTGAGATTGTTAACTTTAGTTTTCTTGGCTCTACAATCAATACTCTTTGTACCAGCAACCAGGAAATTAAAAGACAAATTGCATTGGGAAAGTCTGCTGTCAGAGACCTCTCCAAAGTACTGAAGTGCAACAATGTTAGTCTAGAGACTAAGGTGTATCTGATCCAGGACATAGTCTTTGCAATTACTTGCTATTATCAGAGAGCTGGGCAATTGACTATGGAGACAGAAGGAGAATTGATGCGTTTGAGCTGTGGTGCTGGAGAAGAGTATTGAATATACCATGGACTGCTAAGAAAACAAACAGGTTTGTCCTAGAAAGGGTGAAACAACAAGGTTGCTCCTTGGAAGCAAGGACTCTGAAGCTTTGTCTGACCTACTTTGGACATGTTGCAAGGAGGGACCAGTTCTTGGAGAGGGATGTCATGCTTGGGAGGGTGGAGGGGCAGCACAGGAGAGGAAGACTCTAGGTGAGATGAATTGATTCAGTCACTGGGGTAATGGGTGTAGGTGTGTCAGAGAGAATAAGATAGGCAAAGGATAGAGCAGGGTGTAGGGCTGTTGTACATAGTGTTGCTATGAGTCGCAGGTTACTTGATGGCACACAACAACAACAACAACAACAAATTCTTACTTAACCATTTGCACCTCTCTGAGATTCCTTATTGAGGTCCAGGAAAAAGGAATCCTGATGAGCCAGGTTTGAAATTCTCTATAGCAAGTGTGGTAATTAATTTTTCTCTGACTGTAACTCTTTGCACAGGGGAGAATATTAAAGCAAACACCAGGGTGAGTAACTATCATTTTCCCTAGACGATTGCTTCAGTGTGTTTAAAGGGGGAAAAAAAGCATGAGGCATAGGATGGATATTACTGAGAAGTGCTATAAATCAGATTGCATTCCTTACTTTCCTTTAAATGTAGGTTGTTTATAACCTGATTTCTTCAAAAGTGAATTTGAGGCCATTATAAGATACAAAACTTGTTGCTTTTGGGTCAAAGTCAGCTCTGACTCCACATATCCCAGGTGCTTCACAATAGAATTGTGTTCCATAGGATTTTTAGAGATGGTGATTGTTTAGCAAGAGCTCTGGTGGCTTAGTGGTAAAGAGTTGCACTGCCAACCCAAAGTTATATGGTTTGAATCTACTAGCTGCTCCAAGGCAGAAAGATGGGCAAATTCCTCTTGTGTAATTAATTGACTCTGCTAAACTTGTTGGTTGGTCAGCTATGGGTTGGTTCTGACTTGACGGTACATAGCAATTGTAGATTGGCAGGCCTTTTCTTGTGAGGCTCATTTGGGTTATGTGAAGCACTACTCTTTTAGCTGGTAGCCAAGTGCTATTTATACTATCTAGGACTTTTCAAAGCACACATAAGCCCCAAACCCATTGTTTCTGAGGTGATTCTGACTTATTGCAATCCGTTATACTGTTCCATAAACTTTGCAATGATATAAATTTTTATGGAAGCAGACTACTATATCTTTTCTTGTGGATGGTGTGTTTGAACCACTGACCTTTGTGCAGCTGAGTACTGCACTACTATGGTCTCTGAAACAAATACAAAGGAGTAGAAAATTAAAACAATAAAGTTAGAATAAAATATATCTCTAGACCTTCTTCTGTAAAGTAAAAAATAATAATTATTTTATGTTTTACTTTTCCAGATACAGGCTTTCTATCAGCTCTGCTATTATAACATATAAATGCCCATAAACAACATATTAAGAATAAGTGTGTTTATAGAAATAATAAACAACTAGCAGGTTAGATTTTGCCCATCAGCTGTGGTTTGCTGTCCCAGGAAAAGAAAATTAAGTTAAGGAAAATGAATTACATACAGTAAACTCTATACAGAGAGGGAACTTTGTTCATAAGGATTGTGCAGCTAACCCAGAGATGGCGCCATTCTAGTTGGTCAAATCAGTAAGAAAAAGATCCACAATCTCCTCTCATGAGATTTATATCCTCTGAAAACCTGCTGGAAGGTCATCTATGAGATGGTTCTGACACAACTGCCAATGAATTTGACTTTTGGGTTTGCATATACAGGTAACCCTCCATTTACCACAGAATCTGATTCCAATGGCTGTTGTAAACAAATGCTAACATTAAGTCTTATCAGTCTCTCTCTTGCTTGCTCTTTTTTAGAATTTTGTACAATAAATGCAAATTCATTACAAATACATTTTTTAAAAAAAATTGTTCTTTCATTATTGCACATTTTATTTTCTTCCTTTCCCTTTCCCCTTCCCCTACCCCTCCATTAGTCCATTTTGCAATGCACCTTTTGTTCCAGATTGTTGTCATACATATATTCCTAATCATATATTCCTTTTGAACTGTTCTTCTCTTCTATTCCAGTACAATGTTCATTACCTGTGCACTCTTTTCCTTACTCTTCTTCTAATGCTCCATGCCAGTCCTATTTTATAACAACAATGTTATGCAGTATTTGTCCTTTTGTTTCTCAACCCTCTCTTTTCAAAGTTTCACTCTTGTGGTCTTTTATTGTCAATATCTTTTTTATTTCTTGTCCCTCCCTAATATCAGTATCTTTAGATATCTGATCTTTATTTGCCTAGCCTTTAGAGTTTGGAAACATTACATATAAGCTTGTTGTTGTTATGTGCCAATGATTCCCCTATGACTCATAGTGACCCTATGTAAAACAGCCCTAAACTGTACTCTATCCTGTGCCAATCTTACTGTCTCTGACACACCTACCTCCATTACCCCAGTCACTGAATTGATCCATCTCATCGAGGATCTTCCTCTCCTGTCCCTCCACCCTCCCAAGCATGATGTCCTTCTCTAAGGACTGGTCCTTCCTTGTAACATGTCCAAAATAGGTCAGACAAAACTTCAGAGTCCTTGCCTCCAAGAAGCAGACTGGTCTCACCCTCTCTAGGATGAATTTGTTTGTTCTCCCAGCAGTCCATGGGATATTTAATACTCTTCTCCAACACCACAGCTCAAAGACATCAATTCTCCTTCTATACTCCCTAGTCATTGTCCAGCTCTCTGATGCATAGCAAGTAATTGCAAAGAACATGGCCTAGTTAGTCTACAGGGTGACACCATTGCTCTTCAGTACTTTGGAGAGGTCTCTGACAGCAGACTTTTCCAGTATAATTCATGTTTTGATTTCCTGGGTGCTGGTACCAAGAGTGTTGATTGTAGAGCCAAGCAAACTAAAGCTATTAACAATCTCGATCTCTTCACCATCTGTCATGATGCTGCCAATTGGCCCAGTGGTGAGAATCTTTATTTTCTTGATATTGAGTTTCAATTCATATTGAAGGCTGTAGTCCTTGAACTTCTGAAGCAAGTGCTTCCAGTCCTCCTCAATTTCAGCAAGTAGGGTATTGTCATCTGCATAACACAGATTGTTGATGAGTCTTCCTCCAATCCTGATGCCACATTTCTCCTCATAGAGCACAGACCCCCAGATAATCTGTTCCACATATAGATTGAAAATGCATGGAGTTAGGGCACATGCCTGTTGTACACCCTTCCCAGTTTTGAACTATGCAGTGTCTCCTTGCTCTGTTCTGATGATTGCCTACTGGTCCATGTATAGGCTTTGCATAAGCACAATCAAGTCTTCTGGCATTCCCATTCTTCTCAGAGTCAGCCACAGTTTGTTGTGATGCACACAGTCAAATGCCTTTGCATAGTCAACAAAACACAGAAATTCCTCTGGTACTGTTGGCTTTCAAGATCCATCTGACATTAGCTATAATATTCCTAGTACTACAACCTCTTCTAAACTCAGCTTGCACTTCAGGCAGTTCTCTCTTGATGTGGTGTTCTCGTAGTTTTTGGATAATCTTCAGCAAAATATTGCTTGTATGTGATACAAGTCACCTTTCTTTGTAATGGGACCAAATATAGGTCTCCTCCATTCAGTTGGCCAAGTGGTTGTCCTTCAGAGTTCTTGGGACAACTTGGTGAGCGCATTCAGGTCAGCATCCATTTGTTGAAATACATCAATTGGTATATCATCAATTCCTGGGGTCTTGTTTTTTTGGGTTTTTTTTTTTGGTTGTTGTTGCAAAAAGCTTTATTGTTTCAGTTTGGTCCAAGGCTTGGGTGAGGGACTTCTAAGTGGATAAGATTCTACATCATGGTGGGATAGAGAAGCTTGCTGCTGATGGCAGGAGGGCACAGAGGTCCCCCCTACAGGTCCCCATAGGCCCCTAGTCATGTTTGAGGGTGAGACGCTCAAAGAGATACTCGCCCAGCCCGGCCTGGAGGCTACCCAGTCTTCTAATGTTGGTCAGATGGTCACCCATCTTCAGCAGTTTCACTTCCTCATTCAGGAAGTGATTCTCCAGAAGGTCACAGAGATGGGGGTCAGTGTGGGCGGAACCCACAGCGTGCAGATCCAGAAGGGCCTGGTTTAGGTTCTTCTCCAAGGCCAGTGCTACTTGCATGGTGTCCAGGGTTTTACCCCACTCACCGTGGGATGGCTTCTGGATACCTTGGAAGAGGACTCGCCCACCGCGCTGGTTTTGCAACTTCAAGAACCACTTGGCCCCCTCGTGCTTCTCCTTCGCCAACTTGAGGAAGAAGTGTCCCACGCCTTCCAAGGCCACATCATCATGGTAAAAATAAAAACCTAGAGAGAGGTAGGTGTAAGAGGGCTGCAGGTGCAGGTTGACCAGACGGTTGATGCCAGCTTCTGCTTCGGCAGAATAATTTTGATGATATGAGAGCTCATAGTTGGTCAAGGTTTGGGGGCTAACAAAAAAAAAGGTATTAGCTGGTCCTGAAAATAGGTGATGGTTGAGATGGTCCCGAGGTTATGCCTAGAGATGAAGTTGGAAGGTAGTTGAAGGCTAGAAAGGGGAAGTTGCTGGGTCTGTTTCATCCAAACACTGTTGCAGCAAGAGACAGATCCACGGGATTGCTGGGGAACTCGGGGCCTTGTTTTTTCCCCAATTATTTCAAAGCAACTTGAACTTCTTCCTTCATCATCTCAGGCTCTTGCTCATACGTTGTTTCATGAAATTCTTCGATGTTCACCAATTCCTTTCAGTACAGTGACTCTATCCTCTTTAGAATGAAAGAGACATAAGCCTGAATGCTTGTCTTATCATAAAACGAAAAACAATCCAGGAGGCAGATATCTTCATGTCTTGCTAGTTCTTTACACTCTTGCTTACTGCCATTAATTAATTACATTTAAGGGGCTCTGATGGTGCACTGGTTAAACACTTGACTGTTAACTGAAAGGCTGACGATTCAAACCCTCCAGGTGCTCTGTGGAAGACAGATGATGCAGTCTACTTCCATGAAGATTTACAGTCTTGGAAAACTGGTAAATTCTATTCTATAGGATTGCTGTGAATCATAATCCAATTGTTCCTCCCAGTGGAACAGAAATAAGAGCATACAGCATGGTTTAAAATTAGGAAAAGTGTGTTAGGGTTGTGTATTGAGTGAATAAGCTGAGAACTGGCTTCTATGAACAAAGTGGTATCAAGATTAGAGGAAGACTCATCAACAAACAGAGGTATACAGATGATACAACTTTGCTTCCTGAAAGGGAAGAGAAACAATTTTAATTAAACACTTACTCTAAAGAAAATAAAAGACTACAGCCTTCAGTATGTACACTTTAACATAAAAAATACAAAAATCTTTGTATCTGGACCAAGACCAATAGTTAACATTGTGATAGTTGAAGAAAAGGTTGAAACTATCAAGGATTTAATTTTGCTTAAATTTTCAGTCGACACTCATTAAAATAGCAGTCAAGCAATTAAAGTTATTGCATTGGACACACCTGCTGTCCAAAGCCTCTTTAAGATGTTTAAGAACAACAATATAACTTTTAAAGACCAAAATGTACCTAATGCAAACAATAGTATTTTCAGTTGCTTAGTATGGATGTGAAATTTGGATGATTAAGAAGGATAATTGAAAAATAATTTATTCCTTTGAATTCTGACATTGGCAAAGGATATTGGCTATGTCAGGAAGCAAAAAGAATAACCAAATCTGTCTCACAAGAAGTACAGCCATCTACAACCAGGAAAGGATAAAATAGATGAATGGGACCTTCTAAGAATCAAATCCCTATGCACGTCAAAAATCTTCTCCAACAGGGTAAAAAGGGAAGCCACAGACTGGAAAAAAGTATTTGGTAATGACATGTCAGATAAGGGACTTATATCTATAATTTATAAAATACTTGAGCATCACAAGATAAAGGTAAATAACCCAATTGAAAAATGGGCACAGGATATGAACAGACACTTCACCGAAGAAGACATTCAAAAGGCAAGGAAACATATGAAGAAATGTTTAAAAACCCTAGCTCTAAGAGAGATGCAAATCAAAACAACTGTGAGATAATATCTCATCCCAGTAAGAATAGCAAAACTTAACAGAACAGCAAGCAACAAATGCTGGTGAGGTTGTGGAACCCTTATTCACTGTTGGTGGAAGTGTAAAATGGTGCAACCACTATGGAAGTCAGTATGGTGCTTTCTCAAAAAGCTGCAAATAGAGATACCATTTGATCCAGCAATTCCACTTCTGGGAATATACCCCAAAGAGACCATAACTACCACCCAACAACCCAAGTACTTAGAGAAGCTGTGGTATATTCACACAATGGGATAGTATGCTGCATTGAAAAACAAGGACCTCATGAAATATTATACAAAATGAGTGAGCCTGGAGGATATTATACTAAGTGAAATATCTCAGTCACATAAGGACAAATACTGCATAGTGCCACTGTTGTAAAACGGGACAGACATTGGGGTTGGGGGGAGACTGAGAAAGATGGGATAAATTATGTATACTGCCTTGAAACAGATGAGGGAGAAAACTGTTTAAAAGGGATTAGACATTATAGTCATGACGTGAGTCCAGAAAGAATGCTGCATCATGGACTGGACTTGGAGGGAGGGATTATATAAATGAAAGAATTTGTCTTTTACTTTTTAAAGAGAAAAACAAGTTAGGGCAGAGGATTGGGCAGGGAGAAAAGTGCAACAATGAATGAACGGAAATCCAAAGTCTCTGTAAGCTTTCATTAAAATTAATTTTAAAAAAAGGAAGAAAAGAAGTACAGCCAAAGTATTTCTTAGAAGCAAAGATGGTGGGACTTCATTTCACATACTTTGGACATGTTATTAAGTGGGAATTTTTTCCCTGGAGAAGGATATGCTGGGGAAAATAGAGGAATGGTCGGCTCAGCAAGGGAAGACCTTCAATGAGATGAATTGACGCAGTGACTGTAACAATGGGTTTAAGCATATCAGAGATTGTGAGGAAGGCACAGGATCAGGCAGAATTTATAACCCTGTATGGAGGTAATTGTGCAACAAAACCAACTCAGAGGCAACAACAACAACAACAACAACAACTGGTATTTGGTTGATTTTGATTCATATTGACTTTCCATTGAATTTTTTTTTTGTTGTTGGTGGTGGGTTTTTTTGTTTTGTTTGTTTGTTTTTTAAATTTTATTTTTATTTTATTATTTTTGTGTGTGTGTACCGTCAAATCAGATCTGACTGGTACAGGAGGAGATTGCCCTTCCTTCCCCGGCAGAGCATCTTGGTGGATTCGAACTGTGAGCCTCTGGGATTGCAGTGGAGATTCTTGCCACTAGGCCACCAGAGCTCCCCTCCATTGAATTTTTAAGGCTGGAAATTTTTACTGGAGAAGATGGACCATCTTTCTTCTACAGAGCCGTCTGTAAATTCAAAACACTGACCTTTCAGTTAGAAGCGTAATATAATGGGTTTGGTTAACAACATGGTTTGGTTAACAATCAGTAGTTTAGAGGTGCTGGACAGGAGACTCTGGTGAACTAGTGGAAAGGAGCTGCACTGCAATCCCAAAAGCATGCTCCACGAGAGAAAGATGGACAATTTCCTCCCAGGCAATTAACTCCTTCTGAAAAACCCGCTGGAGGGTCAGTGGTTGGAGGGTTGGTTCTGACTTGACCGTACTCAACAACAACAAATGCTAGATACTTGACCAAGTGTGCTCTATATGCATCATCTAATTTAATTGTCATCAGGTTGTTGTTATATGTCTTCAAGTTAGAACTAACTCATAGCTGACCTCCAATAGGTTTTCAAAGTGTATAATTCACATAAGAGGTGATTGTCCTTCTGTTTCCCTTAAAGCAGTTGGTGGATTTGAGCTGCCTGCCTCTGGACTGGAAGTACAACTTCTTACCCACCAGCCTGCCGGGCTCCAGCCTATGAGGATAAATCCTACTATTATTACCTTTCTCAGATGACATAATGGAGACTTAAGATTAGTCGTTTACCCAATATTCCACATGTAGTAAGTGGATATGAATGCATGCTCTATTTATTTTCTCAACCAAGGTTCTTAGCTCTATCTCTCTTAGTTGTCATTACCCCTTAGATTTCTGACCTTATTCTGTCCCTACTGATTTCCTGTTCTTAATTCTCTGAACACAATTACTTATTTATCTGATACTGATTACTTCTGGTTGTACCACTTCAGCTTCCAGGACCTTTTCTCAGCTTCAGTGTCTGAGCATCTAATCCTGCTCAGATTCTCATCCTAATTACTGGAATATTGGTCCTTTATCTGTTTCTACTTCTAGTGATCTGATGGTCAACCTCTGCACCCATCACCCTTTCTTGATCACAGTTGTCTTTTCTGCTGCTTTCACTCCAGTGTGAACAAAGGCAGACTATTCAATCCATGTTCAATCAATCCCTTCAAATTTTTGAAGCTAAACCTATAGAAGCCTTATATATTATTAACTAGATGGGAAGAATTTTGTAGAATGCAGATCTTAATAAATCCACTTTCCCTATTACTGATGTCTGTACTCAATGAGGTCTAATTATAGCATTATATCCTATCCTATATATACTATACTATACTATACTATACTAGTATTCTTCTAGGTCATATAGCACTGGTCTGTCCATTTGCTGTACAGAGGTAATTCATAGTTGCTATGATGCTGAACACAGTGACACTTATGTGTCAAATATAATAATGGTTCCCATGGTGGACAGTGTTCAATGGAGCTACCCAATTAAAACAATCTTGGAAGCAGGAATGACATTCACTTCCAAAATAACTTGCCTCTGGAAACTCTATGAATGTGGAAAAACAATGAAAGTCATACAAGCGTTCATGTCTTTCATTCATAGGGTCACTATGAGTTATCTATGACACTTAACAACAACAGATGGGAAGACGCTTTGATGGTTCAGTGTGTTAATCTCTTGCCTCCTAACCTAATAGTTGGTGATTTGAACCTACCAGCCTTTCCACTGGAGAAAGCTGAAGCAGTCTGATTCTACAAAGATTTACAATCTTGGAAACCCTCTGGGACAGTTATACTCTGTCATGTAAGGTCACCAGAAATCAGAATCAACTAGATGGTGGCAGATTTTATTATATTTCAGCTATGAGTTGGTTCTAACTTGAAAGCAATGAGATAGTTATTCTACTAAAGGTCAGAAAATAAAGACATCCTCAACCTGATGATGACGTAAGCAAGAGTACATTTGTAATAACAGAATACCTTTCTTAATATGACAATTCTCTCCAGATAGATTATTAATAGAGACTTCATAATAAATAATAATAATATCAGTAGCATGCTCCACAGATGGAGAATGTTTGTCATTTTCCATGACCAGCTCTGGGCTACAAAGGATGTTATTGAATAAACCAATGGCAATATAAAATTCCAAAAATAGTAAGTATTTTCTGCCCCC